AAAAAAAAACATACACCTCACAAGAAATGTTCTAAAGTTAGAGGTTTACAAATGTGACTGTTGCCCAGATCCATTCACAAATGGATAGAGTTGTTTAATCCTTGTTAACTACCACATGAATTACCTTCACACGTTCGCATGATACTCTGAACTCTGACAGTGCTCGGACTGCATATGGGAAAGCACCAATGTAGTAACACGTAGAGTATAAAACAGTGACTAAAGTGTACACCTGAGATGAAAAAACCAAACATTTTGATCTTCAAAATAATCAAAGATAAAAGTGAAATGGAAGCAGATGTTAATATGCCCACAAGTAAAGGGATGGAATAACTATCAGAAACTTGCATATATACGTATACAGAGGAATAACACAAAAGTCTTGATCATGAAAATTGTAAATTTGCTGTGATGAGAGAGGGATTTGGACTTTGGCTTATTCTGACAAATTGAATATTAAATTCCAATCCTCAAATCTCTCAAATACAGGGAGTATACCCTTGAATTTCCCCACAGTCTTAATGGACAATTATGTATAAACATGTGTATTGATAAAAAAAGAGGTGTCAGTTCAATAATTATAACACAAGTCAGCTACAACTGAATAATTCTGGATAAAATGTGAATGGTGATCATGAGATTTTGATCAATGCTGAGGTAAACCTCATTCCATCTCCAGTAGATGGCGCTGGTGCCACAGGATCATGACAGCTCAGTTTTGACAATTTCTAACTAAATTCAAAGACAATTATTTATACATATCAATAAAAATAATAGTGTAATACATTTTTTTGTTGTTAATTACAAACAATCTGCAATTTTCTTATTCACAATATAAAATATCTAAATAAACAACAAACATCTTATAACAAATAATTTCAATTAATTTTAATGGTTCAAACTATCTTAAATATTGTCAATCTTATGGAAAACATTAAATATCATATATATAAACACACTGGAGAAATCACACCACTTTACTTCCTAAATAACCATACATTCTCTCCTTTCTGATTCCATATCTCGATACAACTTACTTGAGCAGCTGTGAGGTCATTTCCTGTTTGAGCGTGAACAATGAACGTTAAAACAGCAGCGACGATGGGAACTAGGGGTGTGGCAGCTATGCTAACACTCTGGACATAAGCAGACTTCTCCAATATACTTCGCTCATCGGAACGGATACCTGAAATTAAATTCATCTACCTTTTGAATTTCACTTTATTTTCTTTCATACAAGTAATTTTCCAAAGTGTGAAATTCAGTTTTTCAGTTTGTCTATGTGCACATTTAAGTACACTGTCCCCTTTTCAGAAACTTAATTAACTTCCCATTATGAGACAGGATTGCACGTGATAATTGGCCAAATTAGTGTTACTTGTTCTGAAAAATATATATTTCATCCCTTGTTAATATATCCCCTTGAGGTTATAAAATGCATTAATACTCTCTGTACGTATTTGTAAGATATAAGGTGCAAAAATGGACTGCACCCTAACCTGATATTGTCTTGGCAAATGACTTTTCCCAAGCATACATCTTAATGAGCTTGGCGCAGGTGAGGACCTCGTTCATCATTCTCACTCTCTTGTCAGTGATCACGATACACTTCCGCCTGAAGTGACTAGTAAGTCTGGACACTAACACCTAGGAGACCGAAGGAACAGTATCAGAATCTGGTGAAATAAAATAATGAAGTCCCATGGGGTCACTTCATCCTGGACAACATAATGAGCGTAATCTTTTTCAATGAAGGCTATTGATCAATATCTTTCATTGAGACACCTTGGAATGAGTATTGCATTCGGTGAAACAGGCTTTTGCATTGTCTTGAGAGTGTTCTTTTTTCTTCTTTTTCTTTTTTTTTTAATAAAATAAAAAAACACAAAAAATTAGCATGTCTGGGGAGTTTTCTTTTTTTATTTGTGCACACAAACATATTATATATAAATGCCCAAATGCATACACACATTCACACACACAAACCCAAACACTCACGCACATGCTCACACATATACACAAAAATGCACACACTCACATCAACACTCACACACTGAAAAAAACATACAAAAAAAACATGTTAACACAAACAGACATGCACACACAAGCACAGTCTCACACACACACACACACACACACACACACACACACACACACAGAATCAAATACAGCTTACTTGGAATGGGTAAAACAGAATGAACACAGAAAGTCCCACTAGTGCTGCGGGACCTATCAGGTGCACACAGTACACTATGGCAGCAGTGGCGATCAACGGTCCCCCTAAAATAAGTCCGCCTAGAATTGTTGCATCAAACAGTCTCTGTCCGTCATTGGCACAGAGATTTACCAGCTGGAAGACAAACCAATATGATACATTTACATTCTAAATAGCAATTATAATAGTAGAAATAAACAAAGTGCAAAAGATTAATGGACGTAACATATACCTTGTTACCGAGTGTTGTGCCTTACTTATTTCATGGTTGAAAACTAAAGATTTGGTGTACCTCAAACAAATCCATTTGAGGAAAATATCAATATTTACACATATTAGTACAAATTTAGAAATTGATGACTGGAACATATAACAGACAATAAAATCGATGTCATTCAAATGCCATACCTCTCCTACTGACTTGTCTTTGAGACTTCTTAATCGGAGAATTTTCTTGAATATTAGAGATAACGCCCCACCTCGCACCCTGATACCTGAAGAAAAAGAATATGTCAGATACCCAGGAGTACCCGATGCAAAATCAAGACACACAAATGTGACAACAATTAAAGGCCCTTAGTCAGAGGAGTATGGAGACTTTGAGGGAACTGCCTGTCAGGAAAAGGTCTGATCTGGGTAAAAATTGATCTAGGTACACAACTGTTTCATAGTAAATGCTCCACTTTTTCAGAAAAAGACCCCCCCCCCCCCTTGGAAATTGCTGGCTACTACATCTACATTTTCTTACCTGACTCGTAGTTGATGGCCCATATGACAGCAAATGATATGGAGCGCCCCAGTTCACTGATGAACAGTCCTGCCACTAGGGCAAACCCGTGACCTAGATCCTTGCCCCCAAACTGAGCATGCTCCAGAATAGAGCGCACCAAGTACGCCTGAAATATAGGTATTTAAAACAATATTCTGACAACAGTCCGAATTTCACAGAACAGAACATGCATGGGCCCAGAATGATCAGGTGCTTACAAGAGAATAAGTGCACCACTATTTGCTTCATTATTGAGCACTTTAAACTGTAGATATCAGATTAAAAAGTGGTAGAAATAAGATTTTAATCTACTTAGAATCTGAAATGAATTTAAATTTAATAAGAAATGAATATAAAACTAGACAGAACTCTAAAGTGAAAACAGGATTATTCAAAATTTTAGTAGGTTTCGTTAAAAATGAAACTAAATCATTCCTCCTGAATGTCCAATGTGAAAATGCCATCATAATCCATGGATAGTTTTGAGATATTTTGTCCACTACGTAAAAACCAATGCTGATGAAAATAGTGTATACCTCCTGCTTTGGCAGATATACATGTAATAAATGGTATTAAGGTAACC